AACTTCTTTTTCCTCGAAGGGATGTGAGCTTAAAGAAGAATCAGTTATTCGACTACCTTTTCAATCTTAATTAAATACGACTCGTATACACGAGATTGTGATTGTGAAACCATGTATGAATTCTAATATGAACTTCAGAACGGAGAGTAATCGCATCGTCATGTGAACAAACTTAGAACCCAGTAAGACTCCTGTAAACAGATTGCCCTTCAGTCTAAACACCTACATAGATACAAGAAAAGTCCGAACAACTTAGCGAACTACGCAGAAATAGAATTGGAAGACTAGGCTTCTCACCCTGGAGAGCTCCGGCCTTACTCATCCAAAGATCGACGAATTGCATCATATGCGCCTCGGCTATCGAGGGCTCCGTCCAGATTTTTCCATTAGAAATCGTTGTCTCTGCCTCGCATAGATGAATTGGTTGAGCAAATGCAAGGAAAGAATTACTTTCAGAAATGGACCTGTCATCCGAATATCACCAGTTTGAGTGTTAGGGAAGGATGTCCGAAAGACTACCTTCCGAACTCGATGCGGACACTTCGAGTCCGTAGTGATACCCCTCGGGTAGGACCAATATGCCTGAAGCATTCATGAGTTTAATGAATAGAGTTCGTCTTTCTTACTTGGATCGGTTCGTCATTCTCCATGTAACGAATTACTTATTTGCCCTCGTAGTAAGAAGGAACCAGCGAAAACATTACCCTCGGAGATACTTTTCGCAACATTCTCTGAACACGAGTTTTGGAATTGAAGAGTCAAAATTTCCTAAGACACACTATTAGTGATGTGGAATTTCTTGAGTACTCTGTCAAATTATCAAAACCATTGAGAATTTGTCGACACCAGAGACGCTGACAGGAATTCGCCAAATTCTAGGTCTTACGGACCTACTATCGCAGTTCATCCAGAACTACTCGCAAATCACAGACACCCTTACGACTTTGTCCCAGCAGGGGGTGGCCCTTGACTGGGAAGTTAAGCAAGAGAAACAACCTTTGGATTTCCAAGTGAGAGACCAAATTCTTTAGGAAGTCTCACTCTGGGAATGGCTTATTATGTTTCGTAAAGCGTGGAAAGCTAAATCCAAGATAGTTAGGACCTCCGAGATTCTTACCAGAATCGGTCCTGTATCCCATAAACTAAACCTACTCCACGAACTCAGTAACATACATTTTACTCTTCGCATCTCGATCTTTAAACCATACCTCTCCGTTAGGACTCTCGTAAGCCCACTCGACGAGATTGAGATTAACGAGATCCTCGCCTTCGTATTAGAACCGTAGTGACCCTCAACCGAGTGGTCAAGCGGACGAACCAACGTCACCTCCCTATAGTGAAGGTTCGTTGGGACACCAACCGAGGACCCGATTTCACTTAGGAGTGCGAGAACCAATCGATTAGGAAGTTTCCCACCTCTCGACTTGATCCTTCATACCTACTTCCTTACCTAAATTCTAATTTCGAGACGAAATTCCCTTTAATAGGGGGATGATGTGACAACTCGAAATTTTCATTCGGTCAAACCCTAAAAGTCAACTACCTCTTATCATAAGTTAATGTCATTATTGCTTATTTTTAAGAAATTTAAAGTTCATTTGATTATTTTAATATTATTTTTAAGCGAACGGGTTAAAGAAAGTGTCGTCTCGGGTTTTGAATTTTAAAAACCGCAAACAACTCGTGACTTAGAAGTTCGCGGCCAAACTTTTAAGTTTGGGTCGAAAAATCATCCCAAAAACGTAAACTCGTTCCTTAAGCATGAGTTTACTCCCCAAGACTAGCCATTTGTGTTTACTCCCTAAATACCAAAAGAGTAAACTCCAAAATATCCTCTCAAGTATCATCCAAGTTTTTATTCAAAATCTTCAATCTAGTAAGTGTTTCTAGCCCTTTCAAGTTAGTATATCACTTAATCTAGTGATTGTACATCCTTTAATCCATCCATTTTTGTGTGTGATAAGTTTTTCCAAAACACCAAGAACACACACTAGTGTTCTTGGACTTAAAGTTCATTTCAAGCTTCCACAATGTAAGTACTTCTATCCTAGAGTCATTTTAAGCTTGCTATACATGTTTATACCAAATAAAAGTCCCAAGAACACCAAGATAAAGGTTTTCACGGTTTTGGGAGGTCCCAAAACCGTAAACACCAAGTATAGGGCCAAAATGGTGTGTTAAGGTGCCTAGATGCTTCACAATGCCTTAGGGACTTGTCTAGGTTCATCCTTGAAGATTTTATCACACAAAAAGCACCAAAACCTTCCATTTTTATGTGTTTACGGTTTGGGGATGTCCCAAAACCGTAAACACCCCAAAAGGTGTGTAAATGTCCCATAAGTGTCCCATGGTTATTTCTTATGTCTAAATCTAACCTAAACTAGTGCCATGATTGAGCTAAGGACTTGAAAACCCCAAAAACCATAAAGTTATGTGTTTAAGGTAGTAAACTCATGAGTTTAAGGTAGTAAACTCATGAAAAATGGTCCTTAGACCGTAAACTCCATTTAGGAGTGTTTTGATGCCACACAACACTTCCTAAGGCTAAATCATGAAGTAGGAATGCTTGGAATAGCTTAGAAGACTTCAAATTGTCAAATGGTCAAAAGGTTAGGAGTTTATGACTGTAAACTCAAAGGGTGTTGGTCTTTAGGGAGTAAACTCATTTTAGGAGTGTTCCTTGAACCCCAAACACACTAGCCTTTCCCTGCAACACTTAGATGCACTCCTTAGCACTTATAACACTTATAAAAAGTGTGTGTCATGTCCTAGAGTGTCTTGACTTGTTTATTGGTTGTTTAAAAACTAATTGTTTATATACATATGTCCTCATATGTTATTAGGATCGTTGTGCGTGTCTAAGTCTTCACTTGACACCAAGCACTTATCCGACACTTCCTTCTGATCCACTCACAACAGGTGAGTTCATACCCCTTAATCAATGTTTTAAATGTTTTTAAATACTTTATGGGGGGTACAAGTAGAATCATGCTACTTAATATATCAATCACTTGTGATTAATAAGCAGCATTCAAATGATTGGCTACTCGTTAGGCGTTTTACCAAACAGTTTCCTTCAAATGTTTTTCATAAACACTTTATATGTTTAAAACTCCTTATTAAACTATACATTTTACTCTGTATGTTTTATTTCAAACTTAATTACAATTGTGTTTCAAACAAATGTTTCTTGATACTTCAACTGTTTTATCAAACCCATGGTTCAACCCGTTTTATAGATTGACAACAAGTCAATCATTTCTTAGATAATAATTATGTTCCAAGGTTTTACAAAACTTACTTTATGCTTTTATATTATCAATTGCATGCCTATATATGTATAGTTATATAAGAAACGTTTAAAAGACTTAGGAAGGCTATCCACCTTATTTCCTTTCCACGCTTGAGATGTGGTCTGGTGGGACATCGAGTAACCGTCCGAAGGTCGTTTAAATATTAGTTATATATCATATGTACATATATAGTCATAAAGGTCCTTCCAGTTCATCCAATGCCCTTGGGTAGCAAGGGTATACATCCGTGTTCATACGTACCAGTTAAATTACTAGTAAGCTACCATATGGGTAGTTTAGGAAGATACTAGAACTATTACTAGAACGCGATATCATACAATGAGTCAGTTCATTCATGAGTAAATACTTGCTAAATAGAGAGAACATACATTACAGCTAGTACACACAATATATTACTATACATGCTAGATAGAGAGAGAACACACATTACAGCTAGCACACGTAGAACATTACAGTACATTACTATACTATTACATAGATATGTTTACATGATTACATTTACAAGTATATACTAGAAAGAGAACATATACAACGATACTATAACGATTAACAATACATTACATATACATGAATACGTTAACAAAAATTGTGATCCACTGTATCGGAGCATGCCTTCAATTTCATGGCCCGAGTTGTAGCCAGAGTATCTTGGAGGGAGAGCGTGAGTTTGCGTATAGATCTATACTGGATTGACTATCCTACACCTTGCTGCTAGCTACAGCCGGACCTGCATGTCTGCGGGTGCCAAACGTCATACCTTATTACGACCTACATTGTCGTGTTACCTAGTCGATAGTATGGTACAATTTATCACATAATACCTTAATATAAATCCGGTTTAAGGTAGTTAGTACAACAGTAGTTCCTATAATATAACACTACAATACTAAATTAATTTACCCTTTACATATAGTTAGTGATCATTTCACTTAAACATTATTGTACAAACTATATTTTGTTAATGATAGTTACACTTGGGAAAATTACATACTTTTACAAGAAACGAACAGACAAAACAGTTGGGTCTTGGTAGAAGACTCCCTTTTATAATATTAGGAAATCATAGGGATTTCTAGGGTTTTTCAAACGTTTACAGTTGTTTTACAAACATTCTCATACTTACACGAACTTCCTTTCAAAACATTTTCCAGTCTTTCATTACATGTCAAACAAATACTTACATAGAAATTAAGACACATTAATACTTATGATCTCACCAGCTTTAAAGCTGATACTCTCTTTCAAAATAACTTGTATCCTCAGGTCAACAGTAGACAGGTACCGATGCAAGGTTTAGAGAAGATGGAGCTCGTTCAAGAATCATCTTTCATTTGTTTATACTTTAGTGTCT